AGCATAATTTGATCATCATTTCTTATTCCTGGTTCATTGGGAAGTCAGTGGCTTTGAGTTGGCGTTTGAAAAAGAGGCAAACAGGCGGAGGTTCAACCTGGATCATTTGCTCGCGATGGCTGCCACCATGTCATTGTCTCCAGGACCAAAGGGCTGAGGGGAACGCCCACCTTATCCTTGCGACGAAATGAACAGTTCAAAGAGCCCCTTGGCGTCACAGAGCCTCAGGAGTCTCAGGAGTTTCAGAGCGGATGGATAATGATAGTTTTGAGCTGCATATGCTGCCACAAGTTGCAGGACTGGAAAATATTTAAAACATGTCATGTTGACATCATCTTCGAAACTAGAGGCATTTGCCAAGTTCAGCCCTTATGTTTACAAAACGTTCATCTGAGGTATGCTGCAGATCATATGCCTGCATCTTTCCGGCTCTTCCAAGAGATGAATTACCAACTCTCAGCCTCTCGGTTGCACATGTCGCACATGGTTCCACCTGCTTCCACATTCCGAATTCAGTGGGTCAGTTCAGTTTTCAGATCGTGTCAATATCACCATTCTCCATAGCAAACGGGGATGATGATTTTATGATTTTGAAGTTTGATGATTTGTTTACATTAAATTTTGCAAAATTTCGGGGTCAAAAAAACAGGTTGCCCAAATTTCATTGTACTTTGAGGTCCCGGCTCACCAGGTCTCACAGATTGTCTCACAATCTCAGCACTGATCCTGGATTTGCCGATTCATTTATCTCCTTTGTGTTTTGCCAGTGGTTATCATGTGATCCACAAGTTGGGAAGATCTACAAGGATGTGTTTTTTAACGCCTGATGAGAAAATCGGATTGTGATGAATCACCGATGAAACACCAGGTGTCTCCCAACAACCTGCGAATGCCGGGCATGCTGGATCGCATTGCCAACATGTCCTGGGCCCCAGATGCTACAGATTCGTATCACATGCCAGCCATGCAAGAATGTATTCACATATGACTTTTATATGACTTCCATGTGACTTTGTTTGACTTTCATATGACTTAATAGCCAACTATTGAAAATCTTTTTGATGGCATGTTCTAGGACAGGGATGGATGGTTTAATCCTTAATCCTTTGCCAACGGTGATTGTCCAACCTCAAGGTGATGGGGGGGAATCCTCCGAGACATGGCCAAGATGGGATACTGTCCATGAAAACTTAAAGTTTCCATTCGCAACTAAGTTGTGTTCGTCACATTTGAATATATTCAAGTGTGTTTATGCCTTGTCTACATGGTCGTAACTGTTTTTTCCAAATAGCAATTTCAATTTGCCCACCTTTCGGCCTATCCCTGGGGAACTGGTCGTTGAAGGTTTGTAAGTCTGCATTGCGCAGCCAAAAACAGAATTAGGCAACAAAGGAACACATACGCTGGACATTGATGGGCGATATTGAGTTATCAGATGGGGTTTCATTTTTCTGGCCGATTGTGTTATGTTTAAATTCTTGATTGAAGTGGCCACGCCACAACTTTCAAGATAACCATTTGATTACATATCAGCCTATATCTCGACAGCACTGCAACTTTCAGTGCTTTCCCTAGAGACCCATTGAGACATCTTCCCTTGTCTTCAGTCCCCGGAAAGAAATATATCCAAAGAAATTCACCTAGGTGTCCATTGGGTACGTGTTTTGGCATTTAGCATTTCATTTGTGTCATGTTTCTCGCCCAATTGGCATTCCTCAAGGTGTTCTTGGGGGGCCCAATCAAAGTTGATGATTTTATGACTTTCAATGCTGGGTCAAGCGTTGATAAATGTCCCCTTGAATAGTTTTGGGCCCCCAAAAATGAGTTGAACATTCCAGCATTTCACAAAGGATGAGCCCGCCAAATGGAATATGTGGTAAAGTTCCTTGCCATTTTTTCCAATTCCATCCTACTAAATGCCTGGGTATTGGATGCATTTCTTTTGCCAAACAAAATCCGTGAATTTCTCATATTGGATCAATAACTCAGGTTTCTCTTTTCGTAAAATCTTGTGTGCTTACCCTTCCCATCAGTGACACGCGGGTGGTTGACACAGGGCCCTTAATGGAAACAGGCCGTAAAAGGAACAGTTCGTAGCCAGAAATTGCAGCAGGAAAATCTGAAATTCCCATACGTGCCCATTTGTTCTTTCAGACACCCAGTTATTAAATACATGTTTAATAGATTCAGATGTTGTCTGCGTTCACTAATTCTTTGAAACGGATTTTCATGAAAAGAAACCGGGAAAACATATCCCCTTTTTTTCCAGAGTGTTCCAGGCAAGATACTGACGCTACCCAAGACTGGTATCTTTGCAGCAACAAGAACTTCGTCATCACCTCGTCCGCTAGCTCAGCGGAAGGTGTTCGCCATAAATTGAAGAGATTCCTGGCACGTGCAGTACCGAGAGACCTTGCAGAAGATGAAGAGAGATAGATGTTGCTAAAATGAGGAGAGCCTCAAAGGGTTGGTCCAGCTACAAAGATTTGAGAAAGCGCATGGAAAAAGCAATTTCTGCCATAGAAAATTCAAAAAACACAGAAACACCAACCATTGCTAGTTGAAATTGCATCATTTGCATCACTTCAGTTTGCTCCAATTTGTCGCAGACTTGATTCATGGAGGCTGTAACAAAAAAATTGCTGGTACAAGGTCCGAAACTTTAGGCCTTTCCCGATATTTTGCAAAGGTCGCCAAGAGGTCGAGAGTGCAGAACTCAGCTCCACTGGATGTGAGGCTGCTTAAAGAAATTGAAGAAAGGGCACTGAAAATAGGGTATGCCCCAAGTTATGACCATGCTCAGAGGGAAAATGGTTATCAGCGATGCGATTTTCGGGGGTGCTGATGGTGGAATTGAGTCATAGGTGAAGATAAACAAGGTAGAGATGCAATCTGAATAGCGGATGTCCCTTTTTCCCACTTGCGGGCATAAGTCGCAATATCCGTTTTACACAAGCAATAACGGTCCCTCTTTGTCTAGAAAATTCTAGAAGGACACCTTTGGTTCACTAGGCAAAAATGAAGGGCACTTGGAGGTTGCACTTCCGGACATGGCCGTAACCACTCTGTAACTATGTCTCATGGCTACCAACCCATCCGTCGCATTTACCAGCGATCGGGGACAACCGGACAACCGATGGCTTTTCTGGTTTGTGAATCTTGCCCACCAAGAGTTTGTAAAACTGTGGGTAGTTTGTGTCAGCATTCTAGCATTCTGCGGTTGGCCTGGAAGGTCGTGATTTTCCGTATCCCAATATGAAAAATAATCATTTATATGACTAGTGCAACTACATACAATCCAATTGGACTTTTAAAAAAATTATTCGCAACCTTGTAGGCGGCGCACCCTTGGTATCGTTGTAAAGGAGTCAAACCACGTCAAATTTTGAGGGATTGTGTTTTGAGATGTCAGGCATGATCTGCCTGGATTGGTTGCGCAAGAATTGCGTTGCTCCTCCTCGCTCCTTCCCCCTTTGAATATCATCCAAAGAAGCGAAACTCAGGGAATCTATGATTATTGCCTGCCATAAGGCAACCCCGGAAATAGTGGACCTATCAACCAGTGGGTTGTTGGGAAAAATTGTAACCTGAAATCTTGCGTTTTTTAAATCATCGCAGTCATTGCGTTGAATTTGTTGAAAGGCCACAGTCATGAGTGAGCTGACCCCATGGTTTCAACATGTCTTAACCCTGTGATGCCGGATCCAGTCCGATTTCTTCCCGACCTGCTCAGTGCCGTGCGGTTGGATGAATATTCCCGGAGATTCCTCTTTGGCTACCGATGGGTGCGGCCAGCCAAGGTTGCACAGGATTGAGTGTTTTTTTGCATGCCCCCTGGTGACGGTCTGCCATGGAAATCACCTTTTTTCTGAAAGGTAACTTCTATACACGGGCCATAGCAATGTTAATGAACTAGAGGATAAATCATGGATTTACCAACTGCATATTCATCTCTCGTGATTTCGTGTGATCTCATTTGCTTTGCCTGGATGAAAAGGGCAAACCCACCAAAGAATTGATGATGTTGGACACATTGCCAAAGATCCGAGAGGTTTGAATCAGCTTCAAGTTTTCAACCCTCCAAAAAATCGAACACTTGAAGCAAGCATTTTTGAAGCAGGGCACCCGGCTATTTGACGGAAATATCAAACATCAAATATTTCAGATACATACATATATTATTCATATCTATATGGACATATATGGTTCCATAAATTCGATTATATCCCATTGAGCTCCATTATCCCAGCGTTCGATGGTTAAACACCTTCCCACTATGGTTGCATTGTGTTGAGCAATGCTGCACATATGTCCACGATATATCCTTAGTCGTGCAGATTGTTTTTGGGACGACGGGTAAATGATCCGTGCAATCTTCCATTCAATCCACTTCTATCCTCTTTTTTCCATTGTGTGCTGATGATATACATATATTTAAGTATATAGATGTCCATAGATTTATATATATATATATATGTGTGTGTGTGTACATGTAGACGAAGATAGTTTTAGATGTAGTTATAGATGTAGTTTTATATATAAGTATATACCTACTTTTATATATATATATATAGTTATGTATATATATATGTATTGTTATATATCTTTAATTATATATATATATAGTTGTATGTATATGTGTTTCTATATACATGTATATATATATTTATGTACATGTGGTTTTATATCTATATGTATAAATATATAGTTATACATATATTATGGTAATAGAAGCTCAGACATTAGTTTGCTGATTTTCTCATGACCAAACCTCCATTTTTGATGCTATCCCAGCCCTGCCAGGTGCCAACAGCTGACGGTGATCTTCGCTTCGAACCCGTGCCCAATGCCACACAAGCGCAGTCCCTGAGAGTTCCCAACTCAGATGTAGAGGGATGATGGGCGAAGAGGGGCTTGAATGACTCCCTTTTTTTTTGGCTGTTTGAAAAAAGGATACGTGACCCCCCCTTCAACCTGGATACAGGATCATAATCTAGGAATTTGTGTGTCAAACCAGCACCAAACCAGCCGCTTTATATCTCCCCAATGGCCATCATTGCTGTTTGATTTGGTTGAATCAGTTGAATCCCACTTTTTATCGATTCAATCATTTTTGATAAATAAATCCTCATGTTTGATGGTTAATTTTTCTCCCCGTTCTTGATGTTTTAATCATTCTTTTGTGTGGCTTCTGGTGCTGGAGGGTTTGGTTAAATCTTTTCCTTCACAGCAAACCTCCTGCAACCCAAACCTGACATGGGCTGAAAACTTTGAAACTTCCAGTAAACCAGCGAGCACACCTGAGCGTTTGAGATGTTTTTGTTTCTCGCGCACTTCAGAACATGAGCAGAACTCTGCAAGAAAGTAGGCCTGAGCAAGCCAGATTCAGCTTAAAATGGGGATATTTGTTGACCAACCAGTTAAACATTTTTTGCAGGGTATGTAACGTTGGCCATAATTCTATCAGAATCATTTGATGCTGAATTTTCCTGTTGAATTTAATGAATAAACCAAGACCTTGGGAAATTGCCCGGGCCCCACGTTGACGCAAGAAACAACACTATTGTTGTTGATTTGTGTGGTAGCCCCCAATCACAGCCGATCCAACAAAATGGCATATGTTTGCAATTTCATTGCGAGGGTCTTATGTTTTCTCTCCACATCTTAAATCCCCTTGCCTGTTAACCCCCGTGCTACAGTGTATCGCCTGCTAACCAAACAAACACCGCCCAGTAAATCCCAGAAAATCGTGTTGCACCCACCATTAGTATCATCCATAGCGCCATATCCAATCGAAGTTGCCCAGGCTTGCCACAAAGACACAGCCATGCAGTTCGCCAATGCAGCGCAGATCGATGAGTCGGATCGAAGGAAGATCAGCGCGTATAAGGCCTTTATTGCTGGGCAAACGTTGAGAAATTTCAAAGCTGTTTTGTGGATCATTCAGGGATGAATGTGTTTCGATCTTAACACATCCAATGAGCTTGCAAAAATGAATGCGTTTCTTCTTTTCAAGAATGTCTGCCATTTTTGCGCATTTTTCTTTTGTTCAGTTTTTTACAATCGAACAAACCCTCGTTGGCGCATGCGACGCCAGGCAGAGATGAAGCACTTCGAAGAAATCATCGGAGACCTCCGGGCCAAGCCGCATCAGCCACGTCGTGCCCTTGCTCAGTGCGGGAAATTCCTGGGCAATGTGATGGGCGCGGTCGGCTGGGTAAAACGGGTTCTTTGCATCGGTTTAGAATAGAATAGTTTAGATATCTTATCTTTTTCCTGCCAAAGATTGTTCAATTTTTTGCATGTCTAAGAACCTGAAAAGATTAGACACAGGTTGCACGGAACAACCAAGAAAGACCAAATTTGGAACATAATTTCTTTTGATTGGCATATCATAGCGATTTTGTTTGGGAATCCAAGGTTTAAGAAAGGAAACCAGACAGAACTTGACGGCGGCAAAAGAGAGGAATAGAAGACCCGAGCCAATGTTGAATATGTTCTCAAGATACAAGCCGAGGATATTGTTGATGCATTTTACTTTCTCATATCTTTGACCAGCCAAAATCGTGTCTTCACCCAAGGAGGAACATGTAACCATCACCCACCATATTTTGATGAAGAAATCAGATTTAAGCCCGCGACAGTATCAATTTGGCCAGCCAAAATTGATATGTAACCTATCATCCAGCATGATGCAAGACCAATGGGGATGGTTACAGCCATGGGGATATCTTCAATAAATGGTGGCTGTAAGCAGCAAAAGTGATGACATTGTCATTAAACAATGGCTAAACATAGAATTTCACTAGTACGATTTCCTGCTATTGATGCTGGCTGGTCGGAATGGATGGAGACTTTAACCGCGGTTGGATGTCGGTTGGATGGGAATAAGTTGGGGTTCCCTGATGCAATCGCTGCATGGCTTAAAAGTTTTTCTTTGTCCCATGCGTCTATGGGGTGATGATTACGAACTGACGGGAAATGCTCTTCGAGATTGAAAAGCTCATCAAAGTGTGTGCTAGGGGAACCGGTTCGGCTCAATTTCCGCCGGCAGTCTCTGGACATTGTCTGACAGGCCGACCTCACCAATGGCGCCACGCACAGCAATGGCATGGTTGTGTGGGTGCAATCAATGCAATCATCGGTTGTTTCCTTTTGGGAATCATTGAAAATTGAAGGAGTAAGCAACCAGCTTTGTCAACAGCATGTTTTTGGCAAAGAATTGCCAAATCATGTTAGGATGATCTGACAGGGATACGTTTTTGAGGTTGACTGAACCAATTGCACACGACAATCACCATATTGGGGCCTTTGTGGAACTTTTGGAGAAGCTAAAAATGACCCCAAGATAAAATGCCAATCCCCCAAGTGATTTCACGTCAATCCACATCAGTTCCTATTAGGGGTGTTAAGGCTGTATTGTGGTAGCTTTGTGAGGCTGCTCTTGGCTGTCGTTGCATCACGAAATCCAAATGAATCAGGAAAGCAAAATATTTTTCTTCAAGTATTGATTTCAGAAAAAGATTCGACACATTGGGTGAAGCAGCTTGTTCAAACAGAGTAAGATATGAATCTGAGATAGTGCCAATACCGAATTCCGAAGGAACACCAGAGTCCTCTGCGAGTTCATTCATTTCTTGCCGCTGTTGCTGCTGTTGCGCATGCCGATGTCAGTGGCACAAGTAATTTTGGATATGGTAAAACTTTGGCAAAGGTATTTGGTTTTTGTTGACGGGTCGTCAAGCTTCATGCCCTGAGCTTGGGCGTCGCTAGCTTCGGTGCCTGCTGTAGGAAAGTTGTCCACTGAACCCAACGCTGCTTGGGAAAATCAAACAGGTTTTTGGGGCGTGGCACAGTTGTTCCATAGTGGTTCAGGTCCTGCTGGCCCAAGGCTGGGAACGGTCAGATTTGGAACGATCTTTTTATTGTCTCGATTCTAGGAGAGCTATATTGGGGGGCTCATATGAGCGAATTATTTGATGTTAGTGGTAGGGTTTGCGGTTTTCCCGGCAGCTCCTAAGCGAAGGGTACTTCGTGAAGACAAAGGCAAAAGTACATCTACACGCCTCCCATTTGCACATATTACATCTACATTTTGCATTTACTAATCTCGCTTGCATCTGCGTTGCCTCTCTCCTTTTGCCCCCCTTCTCTCTCCTTCTCTCTCTTTTCCCCACTTCTCATTCTCTCCGTTGCTCGGTTTTGGCTCTCTCCTTTTGAGTCCTCTCTCTCTCTCTCCTTCTCACTCTCTCACTCACTCTCTCTCTCTCTCTAACTCTTTGAGACAATTGAGGGCAGAGGACAAGGGACGACAAAGAGAGACAACAACCGACAAGTGCAGTTCAATTTTACATCTCGGGGAAGGAGCGAGGCTGATAACGACAGTTCCAGGTGACTTCCAGCACAAACGACAAACAACACACAACAGGAAAGGAGAGGTAGGCCTTGATCCCGCACAGCAGCATGGGAACCAACAAAGGAACAACAACAAACAAACACGCTGCCAAAGGAAAGAGACACCTTGGCCGTGCCCCTGCGAAACGCGAGGCTACAGAGAAGCATACAATAATACAACACAATGGCACCACCAGGATACGTAGCTGCAGCTCTTAGTCGGCGGCAGCACACACACCCTTGCACGTACACATATTTTCGTCACACAATACCTATAAACAGCATGTCTCAGATTTGGTCAACACAACCTTTCAATGCATCTTCTTTTCATGAAACCACGTTGCTCCCAGGGCAGCATGTTTCCAGTTTTTCCCGAATGCGGAGCGAAGGGTTCCCGTTTAACTGTGGGGGTCTGGGGGCCGGGGGTGTGTTCACCCGCTGTTTCGGCCCACGTTCGCGCGAGGACTCTATGGCAGGGCCGCTGGGGAACGGTGCCGAGGGTCCGGGGGGGGGGAAGAAGGGGAGGGGTGCCGAAGGGGGGTCCAGGGGGGGGGGGGGGGGGGGGGGGGGTGGCAACGGCATTCGGGTTCGCGGATTGTCCTGTTTTCATGGCCACAGCCTTGGGTTTCCAACAAGACATGGGGCCCGCACCCGCCGCCAGGGTGAAAGTGAACTGACGCAACACCGCAGCACATTCCCTGCCGCCTTTCATCACACACATCTGCATTTTGCAATCATACCTCCAATGGCAGATGCAAGGCCTTGTTTTTGCGACAAACATGATTAGGCAAGTCCCAAAAAAAAACTAGATTAACATTTGTGTGCAAAACTAGTTTTGATCTAGTGCAAGATGCAGAGGAGAATGTGTGGCAGAAAGCTTTCTTCGGGAAACGAAGCAAAGGCTTCAAGTACAGGAACCAAATCACAAAGCAATGGAAACATTTTATGTGTATCGTGGGCATTCTTCAAAGAAATGATTGTCATCATTGGCATTTCCAGATTTCACGTGCGTAATTTTTTCTCGTTGGTGCCAATGAATTTGCCAGCTGTGGTTGTGACGATGGTGGCGGTTTTGCCAGCAGATTTGCGCGCTGAGATTCGCGGATGAAAGCAAGGATGGGGCCTATGTGCGTGAAAAACCTTTCAAGAATTAGAGTTATACCTAGATAATGTCATTAAAACCATGGTTGAATTGGATAGTATCTGCGCTTAATGTATATTATTGGTGAGTTTGTTTGACGGGCGTCTAAGTTTGGCAATGTTATCCCTTCATAAGTTGCATTGCCTTACGAAAGGTGCAAGAAGGGCGGCGGATGCTCACACTGGGCCATTGATATCTTGTCTATCCACAAGTTCCGGACCCATGAAATTTGTCCCATTAGTCCAACTTTGTTGTTTTTAGCCACCCCGATCAAGCCAGGACCAATAAATTTCACCAATATGTTAGCCAGATTTTAACGTTTATGTTTTTTGGGTGGTGCTGCACCTCAAAACCTATGTCTGCTGAGCCGTTTCTCATGTTGCAATGGAAGATCCACCGTCCAGTGAATCTAGGATGAATTTTGGTTCCTTCAATGCAAGAATAGTGGGGTATATGCGAAACCCACAGGTACAAACCAAGCTGAATGTTGTTTTGGAGAAGAGACATGCCTGATCCTTCGATTACTGCCAGCTGCCTTACCAATAAAGAGGGACATATATGAGACAAGTACCGGCTATAGCTGCTGAAGCCTGGAGACTAGAGGCAAGGCATAAACTAAATGTGATCACAGGACCTTGGTAAAGACATTTTTTCACGCCCAAATATCACGTAAATAAATTGTTCGGGGCTCCAGGGGAATATGTTTTTTCCAAAAGTCATTGCTTGCCACTTTTTCAGTGGTTAGCACTCAGCTTACACTTGCTTCAATCTTGGAAACCCATTGTCCAACAAGCCTGAATCCAAATAGTTGGCAGACGCCGTCAAATTTTCAATTTTCAGATATCAAGCTTATACGTATGCGTATGCTATTGTACTGTTGCTTTGGCTAATGTTGATTGGCTCGTTTTTTTATGACATTGATTTGTTCATGATTGTTATTGGCATTCTTTTGTTTTCGCTGGTGCTGCTATTGTTGCAATTCTTGTTCTCAGGTTCAAACCGTGCTCGCCCCATGGCCCAGCAGCCCCACCACCGCTTATGGCTCAAAGCCCGCTGCAGCGAAGCCGTCGCAGCTAGGGGCGAAAAACCAAGGTTGGGTCAACTGGATAGGTAAGTTTGGCCTAATCTTGGCTAATTCTTGCCTAATCGTTTTCTATAACAGGTTATGATTGGCCCTGATTTGGCGTTTTTTTGTGATAACCATTTTGGAATCGTTGGTCTAGTGCAATGATTAGCGGCAGTTTAACTATCAGAAAATTGTTCCCTTTCTTGTTTCAAGGTTGGAAGCCTGGATTGACACTTCAGCTACTATAGGAGGGGCTCATAACCTGCAACATCCCAGTTAGATGAAGGAGAAATATCTAACAGCTTTATTGGTTTGCAGCTGGGATATATGACCAAGGGTTTTTCACACTCATATTTCTCTATTTTCCATACTGCATTTTATTTCACCAGATTGCGCATGGCCCGCGCCCGGGCGAAAGTTTCAAAAAAGTAGCAACTATAGGAAATCACTGGCCCAACGGAAAGTGCTTGAACTGCAGCAGCAACAAAGCGTTGAAGTTGTGACCTCACAAACGGTTCCTGAGATGCCGCCAATGAAATGACATGAAGCGCACTGAATGTCCATAACTCGGAAGATTGCTTCCCAACTTCTTCTGACCAGCACTACATAGATACGTATATATATATATATACACACCGAGGAGATTTTACACACAGGCGCTGGGCAGACCCATAAAACATGATGGACACACAGATGTGTTGACACAGGAAAGCTTTTACACACAGCCGCTTTACACATAGGAGGCTTTTCACGCAGAGCCTTTTACATACAGATTTTTTGCACACGAAAGTCTCATTCTGCAAGCTCGTAAGGGGTGGACACTTCAACAACTTCAAAAATATGCTTTTCACCATCACAACCCCTTGGCTGAGTTTGTTTTCTTTTATAAATTTTCGCCGGGGCAAACTACCAGATTGATGATCTAACTTTGCGGTGGGTGTTCCACCACATCTATGTTACAGAAGGGTCGTTTTCCAATCGGAATCCAGAAAATGCAACATTTATGCCGGAATACATAGATGTTGTGTGTTCTTCTTCTTTCGGCGACACTATTTTGAAGCACCTATTTTACTTGTTTTGGCCCAAAAAGCGCACACACACACACATCCCGCAATGGAAGGGTGTCTAAAGTACCCCCATCCATCTCGGCTGCTGTTTTTAGTGATCACCGCCTTCTGTCACTTCAGCATCACAAATAAGAACCTCCTTGGTGATGCTGTTTTTTCCCATGGCAAATTGGAATTTGACGGGGTTGAGAGATGCAAACATGCCGTTTGACCCACCACAGGATGACGGCGACCTGACCCACCTGTTCACCTGGGTCACCGTCCGGAGCCACTGTGATGATGGGTGCATATTGGTAGTAAATCGCTGCATGATTGGCAGAAGGATTTGTTCTGGGGTAGCCACCCAGTCATTCCCGGCGGCTCAACATGCCCAAAGCTGGATGCCTTCAGCTGCGGCCTGACACTGCCGTCATGAATGATGAAGAATCTCTACGATATATATATATATATGTATGTATGTATGTATGCATGCATGTATGTATGTATGTATATAGATACATATATATATGTATATATATATATGTATATATGTATTTATATCTATGTATATATATATGTATATGTATATATGTATATATGTGTATATGTATATAGATATATATGTATATATGTATATATATATTTGTATATATATGTATATATGTATATTTGAATATGTATATATATGTATATATGTATATATATGTGTATAAGTATATGTATACATATATATATGTATATCTCTCTATCTATCTATCTATCTATCTATCTTTCTATCTATCTATCTTTCTATCTATCGATCTATCTATCTATATACATGTATAGATCAGGGTTTCCTGTTCAATATGCAGTGGAACTCTGGGATAGAAGGGAACCCGAAGGGAACCCCAAGGGAACCCCAAAGGAAACCCGAAGGATTCCGGAAATATCATCACATTATCACCTCAGATTTTTGCCTGCTACGGCGGTCATGGATCTCTCAAGCAGGGGCTGCACTCTTATTTCATAACAAAAAAGACATAACGGACGAAAATCCCATTGGATGAATGAACACACAGGTTTGACCCCCAATATTTGGTAGGAGACCATCATGGCCTCTTGTAAGACATTCCATTGAAAGATGATCAAAGGGAGAATGGCCCTCGAATTCTATCCGAAATTGACCATCTTGATGGAATTTCCATTTTCCACCTGGAAGTCTAAATCTTTCAGAGCACACCTCATGAAAAATTGACAGGATTATATTGAATTAAGAGGATCGTAATGATTTCAATACTATTCATAGTGTTGTGTCTTTTTCATGTCGGGGCTAGATTTTAGGAGAATTTCATATTCTGGGAATGGGAGCCATTTTGCTACTTTTTCACCGTACACCCATTGACATTCCATCATGTTTTTGCTAGATCGGAGACACCGATGAGCCATGGGAAAGTACGCCCGGAAAAGAGCTGCTGCTGGCAATCGGAAAAGAAAGCCGCTTAGACCTGGCCGAAAGAAACAGAAGAAGGGAGCGAAAAAGAATGCGCAAAGAGTGGCGTGGATGATTTTCGCTTTCAAGATCTTGATGCAGCTGTTGAGGGGCGAACAGTAGCTGCAAAACCACAGGGATGAAAACAATGGGGTTTGCATCGGATTTTCGTGTTCTTTTCGTTTTTGTGTGGGAGCTGGTGAAAAGCAAACAAGAAGATATGATGAAATGAATAACATGGGGCACATGATACAGATAACATTTTGCCATCTCTATCATCTTGCTGATCGATGGTCACACAGTCACACCCAATCTCAGAATGTTCCAATCTTCCGCTCTCGCGAAGTTGCGAACCTGAGGCTCCCAAGCTATGGCGAAGACGCTACTTGAATTTCTTGTCTAGATAGATTAGCAGTGTTCAAAACCTCGGTTGATAATTGTGGGAGATACATCGATATACTAAGTCATTCGAACACTGCTCAAAAAATGCTTGTCAACCCATCAATTCATGGAGTATAGCAAAACAACAGGGGAAATTAGTGAATCCGGGATTTTCGGAAAAATTAATGGGTTTTTGTCCCTGATTGTCCAGTTGAAAGGCGCACCCATGAACCCACCGGAAATGAATTCCACCAACTTCGTCCAAGGCTGTCTCTTGAGAGAAAAGAATCTTGATGAGTCTCGGAGTCAGACGAATCAGCTTGGCGGCCGGAAATAGTTCAAAGATCCTGAAATTAAAGGACCGGATAACCCTACATGTCAACTTCTTCCAATAATCGCCAAGAAGATGTGAAAACGAGATGGGAAAGGCAGGAAAGCGAAAGGCAATGGGCTGGAAAGATGGTGGGAAAGAGCATGTGAAAGTTGCATATAAAAGATGTTTTGCATGTGGAAGATGGATGAAAGATGCAACAGAGGTGTCAGTGAAAGAGTGATGCGTGAAAGGGCTGCGTGTGTGTGTGTGTGCGAAGGTGCCGTCGATCATCTCACACACAGCGTCTCACTCCTTCTCCCATAAGTACCACGCCAGCGGTGCAACTCAATGTTGCCAAGTGCCACGCCTGCCACGGGTCGAATGTCGCCAAGCGCCACGCCTGCCACACAAAGTGAAGGTCGATGTCGCCAAGTGCCACGCCTGCCACACAAACAGCCGCGGCGTCCACGGCGACAAACGGGAAGTGCCACGCCTGCCACACAAAGTGCAGGACGATGACGACTGCCGCCCAAAGTGAAAGTCGATGTCACCAAGCCACGCCTGCCACACCAATAGCCGCGGCGTCCACGGCGACAAACGGGAACCACCAGAGCCAGCCCATTGCCATAAGTGCCACGCTTGCCACACAAAGTGCAGGCCGATGTCGCCAAGTGCCACGCCTGCCACGCAAAGTGAAGGCCGATGCCACCAAGCACCACGCTTGCCACACAAACAGCGGCGGCGACAACGGCGACAACCAAGCGCCCACCAGAGCCAGCCCAATGCCATAAGTGCCACACTTGCCACACAAAGCGCAGGTCGTGTGTGAGAGTTGCGTGTGAGAAAGTTGTGTGTGTGAGAGAGTTGTGTGTGTGTGAGAGTTGTGTGTGTGTGTGAGAGAATTGTGTGTGTGAGGGGGTTGTGTGTGAGAGAGTCGTGTGTATGTGAGAGAGTTGTGTGTGAGAGAGAGAGTTGTGTGTGAGAGACTTGTGTGTGAGAGACTTGTGTGTGAGAGAGAGTTGTGTGTGTGAGAGAGTTGTGTGTGTGTGGAATGTTTGAACAGAAGTAAAATTTTGCAGATTCATCATATTAATTATATGAATATTATAGATTTTAATGCAGGGGGTCATCGGGGTCCCCGGGGGGTCGGTGACCAATGAAGACACCTCCCCGGGACCCGTGCAAACGTACCTGCTGGGCCTTGGTGGTGCGCCGGGCGCATTTAAGTCGCAGCTGGTGGCCACCATAGCCTATAATATATATATATATACATACATATGTAACTGATCGGAGCACGGCCTTTAGAAGGCCGTGGGCTTTTTGTCATCAACGGTGTATCATGGATGATTTTTGAAATGCTCGTGCCAATAGGACTTTGTTTGATGTGATTTTTAAGGCCGTTAACTTCTTATTCTGGTGCATATTTTCAAAAACATGCATTTCGCCTAGACGAACTACCATTTTTGATGTTTTTGAGAATTCCCTATTTTCAAAAACAAGCATTTCGCCTAGACGAAAATACCATTTTTGGGGTTTGTGAGAACTCTCAAAATATTCAACCTGACATGTTTTGATTCCTGTGTTGGTCACAGCAACGCTTCGAGTTCTTCCAAGAACCTTTGCGGATCTGGATTGTTTAGGTACAACGCCAGTACCACATGAACACATATTGTGTCACTGACGGGTGCATCGTCGAATGCCCACGGTCTTTGTGTTTCAAAACCATGTGAGCTGGCAAGAAATCTTGCAAAGACTTCCAAGACCGGTCCAACGTTTGTGTGCAATGTTGGAAACACCACGAAACATCTTCGGTCCTTCAGATGTAAAATTCTTTACCTGATGAACTACACTTTGTACAGGGATACCACGGCGTTCTGCGGCAAACTTCCAAGCTCGGTTTCCATCAGGGCAAATGATGCTGGAACCGGTGATCCTGTCCAGACAGCCACAGACAAGCATGTCCTTCCTCCGCAAGTTCACATGAACATTATTACATGCCCCACCCCACCCCACCCCACCCCCCGATGTGTACAAAACACCACGGCCTTCTAAAGGCCGTGGTCCAACTAATCTAATCTAACTGCACGTTAGGGGACTCAGTTCCCGACGAATCTCTTCAAAGATCCACTCTTGTCTGGTGTGATTTCCATAGTGACTCCGACATGGTGCCATGGAGCCAATTGAGGCAACCATTCTTAGGGTGACTGAGGACAGACTTGATTTCCGAATTCACACATTTTAACTTGGCAATTCATCTAAGTAAAGTGAAACAGTCGGCCTTTCCATTCATCAGCCTTTTTGCGATGTCCCGCTGGTCACGTTGTCCCAGTGTACCTTTCGGAACACATCTCTTCCAGCGTACAGCCGTTTGGAACAATCAGAAACTCAATTCTTGTCACTGCAGCTCCAGTTTTCGAAGTTCAACATGACACGTACAACAACAGGCAACAGGCATGTCCTTTTCCTGCAGGTGTAGTCACTTTGGTTTCTGGTCAGGTTGAGCATATTGTGCATCTAATTCGGTGGTACTTGAACAGCCGTTTATGCCCATGTGGCTGGACTTGACCACGGTCCCGGCTGGGAGTGACGCACGACACTCTAGGGTTGAACTGAGTCCCCCTTAATCTTTGTTGTTTTTTCTGTTCATCAACTAGTCCCCCATGTGGTCCCCCATTTCATGCGTTCTTCCCTCCCTAGGTAGGTGGGTCCTTCGCGTGCCGAGGTAGGCGTAGGTTTTCGCGCCTGACCCAACGTCCTTCCCCCCCTCCGCTGGTCTTGTTCCGTGTCCGTCGACCTCCGCTTTTCTTTTTCCTTGCCCTTTCAGGGTTTGCCCGCTCCGGGCCAGGGGTGTTGGTGTGTGTTTTCTCCTTCCCTCTTCTTTTGCGATCCCCTCCTCGGGACCCAACCGGTTAAGTAATCATTCATCTCATTTTCATTCTCATTTCATCTTCATTCCCCTTTCATCTTCATCTTCACCTCATTGCAAGGACACCACCCTGCCGAAGGCAGGGTGTGTGTGTGTGTGGAACTTCTGAACAGACGTGAAACTTTGCGGATTCATCATGTTATAGTATATAATATTTTATATTTTAATGCAGGGGGTCACCAGGGTCCCGGGGGGGTCGGTGACCAATGAAGACACCTCCCCGGGACCCGTGCAAACGTACCTGCTGGGCTTTGGTGGTGCACCTGGGCGCATTTAAGTCGCAGCTGGTGGCCACCATAGCCTATATATATATACATACATATGTAACTAATCTAATCTAATTGCACGTTAGGGGACTCAGTTCCCGACGGATCTCTTAAAAGATCCACTCTTGTCTAGTGTGTGAGAGAGTTGTGTGTGAGAGAGTTGTGTGTGAGAGACTTGTGTGTGAGAGAGTTGTGTGTGTGTGTGTGGGACTTGTGTGTGTGTGAGACTTGTGTGTGAGAGAGTTGTGTGTGAGAGGGAGACGGCGCGAGGCAGGAGGAGCGGATGGGAGTGCACAACCAAAAGCAAGATTCCCACATCAAAATGTGAGAAAAAAAGGGAAGATTTGGGAAACACTTCGTCCAGAAATGGGATGAATGGATTTTAAATTGAGGTTATTAAGCTGGGGATTACCTACCAGAAATGGATAGAAGCTTAATGCTTTTGATTCAACAAACCCTGATTCAATTCACACGTTTACAAACAAATGTGCTCTGACTCAGGAAAAGAGAGAGCTGTACATCGAGCGGTTGGTGATCTTGCACGAAGAATTGCGAACCAACAACTATTATTGGAGTTTCTGGTTGGCGAAAGTCTCGTTCATCGAAGTCTTTTTTGATTCATGTCACCCAAAGAATTACTAGCTTTCCCGAATTTGAGTAACTTTGTGTTCAGTGGTAGCCATGTGGTAGCTGCAATGAATGTTTCTTGGGCATTTGGCATGGATAAAAATTAGGCACCCCGCTCCTTGGATTCAGGCTAAACATGGCTAAGAATGATTGAAAGATGCGTCCACCGTCATTTTTATAGTTATCCCTCCCTATGAGATGTCTCTAATGCCAGCATCCTAAACATGGATTAGGACCAAACTCAGCAGGAAACCATTGCAGCAATAAGAACTAAGTTTTCTGCAAACCGGTTGGTGGTTTCATGCAAAAAGAATCTATATACATTTACATAAATATATATAAGTCTAAATACGTAACTACTTCATAGTACACAAACATATCTTGTTGTAAATACGCATGTACGGATACGTATACAGTTATTGCTGCGCATCATTTTTTTGCGAAGATAGCCAATGACATCGATTTGTTTGGCTGAAGCACCGAGCGCTAGATGGTCTCGACGCCCCAAAACAGACCAGCCATTCGAAGGTAAGGCCGCCAAATCACTTGATCCTTGTGATTTTTCTTCCACTGAAATTCCTGGGGGTCAGGCACCAGACTTTCTCCAGCATCAAGGGATCCAGTAAAACGCTTGGAAGGTTTCCCAGAATGGGAACGAAAAAACGATTGGAAACCCCAAGAAATTTCCAGCAAATGTTTTCCATCAAATTTGCAGTATGTTCCAGTTGGACAGGTTATGTTCGTAATTGTCTTCATATATGGTTTTTGGCTGAACCAACTGAACCTCCATTGAGATTTGTTTGCCCAGCCCAGGTTTGGTGCGGTTAGTGAAAGATCTTCACTTTGATGTGGAGCCCCTGGATCCGTCGGACTTTCCGGTGCATCAGGTCATCAGGTGTAAAACAACATGTGTCTTTGGGGGGTCACACTCGAAGTGGTAGCCGCTGGTTTGTGAGTGCACACAGTTGTTTCAATAATCAAGTAAACTCCGTAAACCATAGGAACCGGAGGGTCTTTGTAGTGGATTGAGTGCAACACATGAAAAAATCCTGTCAATTTGGTACCCCGTTTTGGAACCATTCTTGGCATGTCAAGGGAACACTTCTGGGTGAACTAAGCCCACCCCTGCTGAAATTGTATTTAAGCCCCATTTTCATTGGGGTATGAATTCATGGGTACAACTGGGTTTGCCCGACAAAAATGAAATAGCCCAGACTCCATTAGTCAATGTTAATTAACATTTTGCCCATCAAGATAGCCAATTTTGGATGGTATACCACATGTTTGGACACACCCACGCATAAAGGTTCCCAAGTGTTTGTCATCTATTTTATAAAATATCATTGTTGGCCACCAGTTTGGTCTAATTACTATTTCACGCGTATCTCATTATACCCTATACGTTATTCCCATTCTACCCTTTTATCCCCATTAGGCCCCTATATCCTCAATTGTATTCCCATAATGCCTTCATCATAGTATGAAAAATTTGAATAACACCCCCACCTGCTGCAGGTGCAACACGTTCAGCGGGGGGGTTTAGACCTGCGTTGCCCTCCGGAGATTCTCCGGCGAAGCGCACCTCTGGTGATGGTTGGACAGTGCCTCTGCGGCTTGCCGCGGGAGGTGTGTCACAGACATCGAGATGGTCACCATGGGGACTTCTGGTTGATATTTTTTTTTGGCAACCTTTCAAAATGAAGCAAACGAATTAAAATAAATGCAACTGATTTTTCTGTGCTTTTTCTGATCTGATAGGCTGTTTCGATATGTTCTTTTTATTTTTCTTGCCATAAATGGGTGAATGAAATAATGGAATGGGGGAAAATGCAGATTTGACCTCGCAATCGTTTAGTGTTTAAGATTGCTTTGTTTTTCCCGAGAGCGTCTGAGCGCAGGGTTCTTCCAATAGTGGAGGTCTGTAAAACATCTTCTCCTCTTCACATCTTCTCATCCTCACATCTTCCCATCTTCACATCCTCACATCTTCACATCTTCACATCCTCTCATCTTCACATCCTCTCATCTTCATATCCTCACATCTTCACAGCTGCTCATCTTATCATCCTCAGATCTTTTCATCTGCTCATCTTCACATCTTCTCATCTTCACATCTTCTCATCCTCACATCTTCTCCTCTTACCCTCTTGCCCTCTTGCCCTCTTGCCCTTTTGCCCTCTTGCCCTCTTGCCCTCTTGCCCTCTCCTTCTTTTCTATTTCTCTCTTGAAGGCGCGGGGCAGTGCCAACGAGACGGCGCGAAACGCAACCCTTTCGCACGAAATGAAATTCGATCGCCAAAAACTGAAGTAAAATTGCGATTTCAAGTTGTCCGGCGCAACCTTTTCGCACGAAATGAGGTTCGATCGCCAAAAACTGAGATAAAATTGCGATTTCAAGTTGTCCGGCACAACCCTTTCGCACGAAATGATGTTCGATCGCCAAAAACTGAGGTAAAATTGCGAGTTCAAGTCGTCCCGCGCAACCCTTTCGCACGAAATGAAGTTCGATCGTCAAAAACTGAGGTAAAATTGCGATTTCAAGTTGTCCGGCGCAACCCTTTCGCACGAAATGAGGTTCGATCGCCCAAAACTGAGGTAAAATTGCGATTTCAAGTTGTCCGCGCAACGCTTTCGCACGAAATGAGGTTCGATCGTGAAAAACTGAGGTAGAATTGCGATTTCCGGGTTCCCGTCGCAACGCTTTCGCACGAAATGAAATTCGATCGCCAAAAACTGAAGTAAAATTGCGATTCCTCTTGTCCAATCGCAACCATTTCGCACGAAATGAGGTTTGATCGCCACAAACTGAGGTAAAATTGCGATTTCCAAGTTGTCCGGCAAAGTGTGTAAAAGCTTCTGTGTGTAAAAGCTTCTTTGTGTAAAAGCGTCTGTGTGTAAAAGCGTCTGTGTGTAAAAGGGTCTGTGTGTAAAAGCTTCCGTGTGTAAAAGCGTCTGTGTGTAAGAGTGTTTGTGTGTAAAAGTGTTTGTGTGTAACAGTGTTTGTGTGCAAAAGCGTCTGTGTGTAAAAGCTTTTGTGTGTACAAGCGTCTGTGTGTAAAAGCTTTTGTGTGTAAAAGCTTCTGTGTGCAAAAGCGTCTGTGTGTAAAAGTCTCTGTGTGTAAAAGTGTTTGTGTGTAAAAGTGTTTGTGTGTAAAAGCGTTTGTGTGTAAAAGCATCTGTGTGTAAAAGCGTCTGTGTGTAAAAGGGTCTGTGTGTAAAAGCTTCTGTGTGTAAAAGCGTCTGTGTGTAAAAGTCTCTGTGTGTAAAAGTGTTTGTGTGCAAAAGTGTTTGTGTGTAAAAGCGTCTGTGTGTAAAACCGTCTGTGTGTAAAAGCGTCTGTGTGTAAAAGCTTTTGTGTGTAAAAGCGTCTCTGTGTAAAAGCTTCTATGTGTAAAAGCTCCTGTGTAAAAGGGACTGTGTGTAAAAGTCTCTGTGTGTAAAAGCTTCTGTGTGTAAAAGCTTTTGTGTGCAAAGGCGTCTGTGTAAAAGCTTCTGTGTGTAAAAGCGTCTGTATGTAAAAGTGTTTGCGTGTAAAAGTGTCTGCGTGTAAAGCGTTTGCGTGTAAAGCGTCTGTGTGTAAAGGAGTCTGTGTGTAAAAGCCTATGTGTGTAAAAGCGTCTGTGTGTAAAAGCTTCCGTGTGTAAAAATGTCTGTGCGCAAAAGCTTCCGTATGTAAAAGTGTCTGTCTCTAAAAGCATCTGTGTGTAAAAGGGTCTCTCTGTAAAAAGTTCTGTGTGTGAAAGGCTTTTTGAAAGATACGATGCAAACTATTGTCTTGTACTTGTGCTATATTGTCTTGATACTCCTCTTCTCGTCTGCCTATAACACATCTTTAATATATTGTTTTGTAATATGGTGTCTCCATACTAACAAGAGAAGACCCTGCTCCTCTACGCTCTCGGGCCATCCGTCGTCTAGTTCTTCAGGAGAGATAACTGAAGCTTTCAATTTTTGTTGCGGCATCAGGAGATGTGGCCGATCCGGCAGAAGATTCGGGCGGACCAAGAGGTCTCTCTGAGTGAAGCCACCAATGAGGGGCTGGAACGTCAAGAACCCGAAGAATCCTGGAGATGAAATGGTGAGTTTTGAACGCTTTCCAAGTGACAACCTGGTCATTCGAGACAGCCATATGCCATTTTCTACACCTATGTTCAACTACCAGAGGGTAGTGACTCTACCAGAAGCCGGAAATCGAACTTAATTTATTCCACGAGAAATTCGGGGAATCTATATGAAGCGATATCGCATTTAACTTTTGAAATGGCCCCCAAATCAGCAAAGCTAAGGAAAGCCTGCCTTTGAAGAAGGTTAATTGGCCATATGAAGAATGCTTTCAACTCCGAAATTGGCTGCAGATCGTGAAGTCCAAGCAATGGAACCGATACGAATTTCAAGAGCCATTCAAGAACCTACTGCTACCGGCCTTGACGAAGGTTGGAGGAACTGGTGCTTTGGGGTCTGGAGGATTCCCAGGATTGCCCCGACAAGAAAATGAATTATTGGGTTTAAGTCTCTTAAGTACCTTGTGGGTGGAGTGTGGGGTGTAACGTGTAGAGTGTAGGGTGTCAAGTGTACAGTGGAGAGTGTGGAGTGTAAAGTGTGGAGTGCGCAGGGTCAAGTATAAAGTGTGGAGCGTGAAGTGTAGAGTGTGGAGTGTGTAGGGTCAAGTATAAAGTGTGGAGCGTGAAGTGTAGAGTGTGGACTGAAAAGGGTCGAGTGTCGTGTGTGGAATGTCAAGTGTACAGTGTGGAGTATAAAGTGTAAACTGTCGAGTGTAGAGCGTGGGGACTCACTTGAGTGTCAAGTGTCACGTGTGGAGAGTAGATCTAGAGTGTGGAGCGGCTGCCCATTTTCAAGTGTGACGCGTGAAGTCTGGGCGGCTCTCGTGGCGTGGTCCGTGCCGACCCCAGCTTGGGATTCGAGATGCGGTCTGGCATGTGGCCACGGTTGCCACGGTTGCCGTGGCGCCGTGAGATCGAACTCTAGCCGTTGAGTTCCGAAAGTGGCGTAAAAAAGCGTGGCGACAGCTATCTCAGCTCATGCTGTTACAACTCATTTACGTGGTCTGCATTCAGGCTCGTTGGTTTCTCTTGTTTTCAACCTTCTCTGGCCGCCCAGAATTTAAACCCTGGAGGCAATCAGCCCGCGGCTCGGTATGGTAGAAGATGCTGCGATGCTGGAGGAATTTCTGTCGAAGCGATTCGATGCTGTCTTTTCCAAGGACATCGTTTGCTAAGCCGAAATTTCTTACTTTCCCAATGGGGAATCCAGAAAGGGAATCTAGAGGGGTAGGTCTTATTTGAAGACGGGCAAGGAACTGAAGGGGAGGGATTTGAGAGACTTCGAGAGATTTGGGTTTCTCCGAAAATAGTGTTCACAGCCCTTTGGGCCCCCGTGGTTGGTCATAGGTTTGTTATTAACAAGTGCAATATTTGTCGTATCCACCATGACAAACCCAAACAACTGGATCCCCAAACCCAGGGCTGGATGGTATAACCAACCATTGTGCATTGACAAATTTACCATCCTTTCAATGAACAACTCGACTTTGAGAACCATGACATGCTATTTTCTTGTCAAAGTAGTCTTCCAACCTCTCTGTTGGTAGGGGCCGTCATGTAGTTGAAGGGACAATACAAAGACATCTAGCAGTTCGATGGCGGTTACACAGAATTCTTTCTACTCTGGGGTTCCCAATTAAGGCCCTACCCAATGTAATGACCATCCAAAAATGACAAGGTCAGGTTTGAATCCATTGGAATTGCGGTGGCTGCCCCTTTTTTTCCGTCAGAAAAGAAGCACATGGGTAAACTACAGAAGGTAAACCGTATCTACAACCACTATATGGGTGTTTAGCCACAAAACATCAGGACCAACAAAAGAAATTGCTGCCGCGGATCATTTGGGCCTTGTGCTGGGATTTCCGAGAAGACTTTCGGGAGATGCAACGGCAACGGCAAATGGACACGAGACGGCAGGATTCCTGGATTTGCAATACATTATTTTTTTTTACATGTTTTTCAAAATCATATGTTAGTTGGATGAGATCAACAGCTTACCCATGATTTGGTACTTCGATTTGCTGTCGAGATATGTTGAGACCTTTGTTGTAAGTGAATGGGTAAATCAATCACCATGTATAGGTGATGTTCTCACCAACCATGCCTGGATTTTATGAAATGGTGAACCGATTTGACCTATTCTGTCAATCTCCGGTCCAAGATTCTGATCTTTTACTTGGGGAATTGTCCCATCAGCAAAGCCACATCAAGGAGCACCTCGATGCGATCATGGCTTTTTGTCAGAAAGCAGGACGGCCAAATTGATGGTTTCTTCGATTTTTGATACCAAAATTGGTTGGTTTCTAGCGTTTTCACACCCCAGTGGATGCCATAAGGCACCCACAGAATAATGATGGCTGATATCCAATAAAGAGGGTGGACCGAAAGAGGAACACCGCATGTTATCATGGGATCGGCCCCGTCCAAAAAGGGCATTTTTGAGATGCAAAAAACATGAAAAACATATTTGTTTGTCACGGCCCGGATGTTGAATGCGCAGGTCTCTGCAAGTCGTGTTGTAAGAAATGCGGAAGGTTCGTGTTTTCATGCACTGCATGCAAGCAACATGATTTGTTGATAGGTCAGAATGATTTAAGAAAGGAAGCCAACGCGCTCATGCTACGTTCTTCTTTGTTGTTTCTGCCTTGCTGGTGACAGCCTTAAACCAGATACGGAGAATAGACTGATGTCTGGCGATTGCCGTTACTGTGAGAAGATGATGCTCAATCATGGGCATACTCCATCCTCAGACAAACCCAAGTCATGCTTGTTGCTGGTGAGCTATCCCCAGTATATTCCGGTTCCAGCTCGTTATGTACGGATTTGTTTCTGAATATAAACCCGTTGCATCCCGCTGACAATCCGTTGTTGGGGCGACAAACCCATGGATTGTTATTGTATCCCCCCAGTATATCATAGTATATCAGTCCATCCCTTCATAGTTGGTCTCATACGCCATTGAATCCAAGACCTATTCCATTGCATCTGTTCTATCCTACGTTAGCTGTCTACTGTTGATTTGTTCCTAGTCAATATTTCTATCTATCTTTCTTTCTACCTATCTATCTATCTGCCATTCTATCCCCAGGGTCGATTATATACAGTTAATTTTTTGGGTTGTCTCATCCTTTAAAAAAACCTGACGCTTCGCTTCTGTGATCTGCCCTTGGCTTCTGTGATCTGTCCAGGAGGTTATCTGACCTCCAGGGATGTTCGCCGTATCATTCCCAAACGCGGCACCCCTGAAGCTGGAAAGAAACGGTCACAGGCACCCGCTGATGATTGCTGCGAGTATGCTGTAGGTAAAGTCATGACTTACATAGGAGTAATCATGGTTGAGTCTTGAGTAAAGATTTTTTACATGGGTACACAAACGTCTTGCAACCATTCTTTTATTGTAATGCAGCCAAAGCATTGGGTAGTATAGTCCCCTCCCTGTAACCACAAGTCCGCGTAAGTCAACTCGGGTTCTTGCGCCAAGAAAACGGGATAAAACTTAGAAACGAAGGTCGTTAGTGATGTTGGGTTATGACAGGTAGTTGGTGATTATAAGGATGTTGATCTAAACACAAAGTGATGGTGAACATTCGTGGGTTGATAAACGCGGCGTATATTGTAGGTTTATTTCTCCATGACTGGAACCCCTTTTACCAAGTCAGTATTTCGAAGGGTAGGGGCACCTGACATGATTTGACCGGTGCCCAGGCGTGGCTGGCAGCAGGTGTGTATGAGCTAGGGGAGTTCATACAGGACAGATTTAAGGCGGTCCTGCCTCCAAAGTATTTGGTTCGCATGGACCACATTGCGCACCGAAGGCAGCTCAAGGACAGAAAGAGAGCTCCGAAGGAGATCGAGGTCAACGGGGAAATGATGCCGTGGAACCGATTCGAAGTGCAGCAAGGAAATGAAGATACAAAGGGCAATGGAGAGGAGGAGGAAACGACGAATTTGTCAAAAGCCAAGGAAAACAAAGGAACTGCAGCGGGACGGCAGGCCACAAAGAGGAAAACTCACGAGAATGAAGAAGAGGAGGATTCAAAACAAGATGTGAAGAAGATAAAGGTAAAGGCAAAGGAAGAGGAGGTGGGACATGGCGAGGAGGAAACTGCGTGGAAACAGGTTCAAAAGGCAAAAGGAAATCGAAAAGCCCAGGGAAAGAGTGAATCGAGGCTTCAAGCGCTTCAAGCGCTTCAAGCGCTTCAAGGGTCAGGTAGAGAAGATGAGTCTTCGAAAAAGGATGGAAAGGAGTTCAGAGGAAAAGGCAACGGAGAGGAGGAGGACCAGAAGGAACCCGTGGAAAAGGCTGAGGATGCCAAGGATAAACAGGCCAGGGCCGAAAAAGCGGCCACAAAAGAAGCCAAAGAAGCGGCAAAGCAGGAGGCAAGGGTTGGTTTGTTTGATCCCATGACATGTCATCACCAACCTTGCTTATTTGATCTTTCGAAATTTTTGAACATCACCAAACATGAACGCAGGGTTCCTGTATTCTAGTGATCCGTCCATCATGGAACCCGGGGGCCAGCTTGGTACCTCCACATTTATCCAAATTTCGCATTACAAGATGTGCCATAAATTGGTGATGCACAGAAGGATTGAACATGATTGAGCATTTCAGTGGTTTGCAGGATAACGTTTACAGCGCACTCCGATTTTTCCCATCGAATTTAAGTCGTAAACCATCATCCATCAGTGTGCAAAAGTTGCACAAAAATCCAGGGGCTTGAGCCCCCATTTCCCCTATTCAATTTACATAAATGTGCCATAAATTGGCGCAATTCTACGGCCAGGCCGAAGCAAAGAAAGATGCGGAGAGAATCGAAAAGGATTTTGCCAGAGCTAAAGAGAGATCCGCAAAACAAATAGCAAAGGCAAAGGCAAAGAATGGAGATGACGTGAAGGTTTGGTTTTTTTTCGAATTCTTCCGCTGCACAGATGGTTTGGGCATTTTGCTTGATTTTTGGATCACGAATACAAGTAGTGCCGCACAAGGCAGTGGCGGAATTTTCAAAGATAAGAAACCTATAGGAGCGGCTTGTTGCTGTGACGCAGGCCCACTGATGGACGGAAAGGTGGCTGACTCTGTGAGCCCCTCCCCCTCTCTCTATCTCTCCATCTCTCTCTCTCTCTCTCTCTTTTGCTCTCTCTCTCTCTCTCTCTCTTTCTCGTTCTGTCCTTCTCTCTCTCTCCATCTCGCTCTGTCTTTATCTATATATTTGTTTGCCTGCCTATCTGTCGATCACTGCCTATCTCGATGGAATTTTTCTCTCCGTCTCTCCCTCTCTCCCTCTCTCCCTCTTGCTCTCTCTCTCTCTCTATCTTTCTCTCTCTCTTTCTCTCTCTCTCTCTCTCTCTCGCTCTCTCTCTCTCGCTCTCTCTCTCTCTCTCGCTCTCGCTCTCTCTGTCTCTCCGTCTCTTTTTCTGATCATACAAGCAAAATTGGTCTCTGCTTCCAAGAGCCTTCTTTGACCTCTTTAGAGTCTGTATCTCTCTTTCCCTCTCTATTTTTTCTATCTATTTATCTGTTTGTCTGTTTGTCTGGCTGGCTTTCTGTCTGTCTGTCTGTCTGTCTGTCTGTCCAGCACTAGCTATCTCTCGCCATTTTTCCATCTGGCTGTCTCTCTCTATATCTCTATCTCTTTTTCTCGTTCTTTGCATCTGTATTTCGATCTCTTTCTCTATCTATCACCTACCTATCTACCTATCTATCTATCTATCTATCTATCAGAGAGCAATTATGCGAGACTTCCTTCAAACATGAAAAGTTGACAAACACCATTGAAAACGAAGCAAGTCTGCAAGGCTTCCTCAAAAATTCGACGTTGACAACATCAAAAACGCAGCAATTCTGCGAGACGTCCTCGAATATCCGGAGTTGCCAACATCAAAAACGAGGCAATTCCGCGAGACTTCCTTTAAAGATAAAACGTGGAGAGAAGACCCGATGGCTTAATTGGCGCATATTCGCGCCAATGTATTTCGCAATTTTTCCATCCCATGTCCCTAAAGTATGTGTTTTTTTAACATTTTGACCTGGAAACCCGCTTCGCGCGACAACGCATACACTTTTTGATCAGCTCAACTTCCAAAAGTGCTCCAAGAATGAGGAACATGCTGTCTTCAAAATTTGTTTGGCACCACAGCCGTGTGCACTTTCTGATCAGCCCAACTTCCAAAAGCGGTCCGGCACTCATTGTTCATCCAAGTTTTTAGGAGACAGATGTGTTTCTGATGTCAAGAAGTTTATCCACATCAGAAGGGTTTCACGCTTTCATACGCTTTCATATGTTCTGGATCAACATCACCAATTATAGGCCGAAATTTCATGAAACATACATGCGTTAAACACCATTAATCATCCAGGAACAAATTGCAGTTCAAACATGAACATGGCGAAAGGTTGTCCGAACTCACATACCCATGGCAAACTCATGTCCAAAAACAGACATTCCAGATTCAAAAGCGGGTTCGACGGGGCATGGATTGCAGATGTCCAAGCTGGTGAACCATCCATATCTGAACTCGATGAGCATCAGTATGAAGCAGTTTTCCAACGAACACAAGCAATTCTTCAAAAAATCGCGCTGCATAAAAGCCATCATAAACTGACCACATGTTTTTGGCAGCGACATTGTTTGAATTGTTGATCCCCTGGCAGGTTGAACCGAATCCCGCTGTCTTGCAGTTTCTGGCTGCCATGAAAGTTCCTGAACCCACAGGAGGGGCCGAAAAGATGAATCTCAGCTGTTTGGACGATTTTCTTGTCCAAGAGAAATGGTGGTATACCAGGGATATAACAAGGACAGCATGGGATATGATGGGGATAAATTGCCATGAATCTGGATGAAATACGTGGCATTACGTGAATGGAATTTTGATAAGAATTTGGGTAAGTATCCCCAAATGTCCTGATTTCAGGTTGGTGAATTATTACAATTTATCAAAGTACATGTTTTTTGCGCAAAAGGGCGAACTTTGATGGGGCAAAACAGGGGCTTCGGAAGTCTTGACTGTACCATCCAGGTGAAAAAACAAGAATGTAGAATCTACTGACATGAGTGTCTCTGACAATGGGGTATACACACATGATGGCAAGCTTAATTTTGCAAATTGATGCAAAACCATTGGGTTTGGGTACAACATCTTTGGACAAACCACACAGGAATTCGGAGCAGGTGAATGCCCACCTTTTTTTCCAGGATGCAGCGCGCATCGATTTACATCCATAAATCCTAGCAAGCTTGATGTGAATGACATGCAGGACCGAAAGCTGCTGACCCATAGCAAATGATAATAGGCGAATCGGACTACCATCCGGTAATCAGCCATGGCTTGCTGGAAAACTCATGTCTGTATGATCGCCTCAGCTACATAGACACCTCCATTTAGACGATTTCCCAACCATGTTTGATGACCAGAGGATATTCGTTTGATATCTTCAGGAAGTGGATGCTGGATCAACTCAACGCTTTTCCGCACAACGTCCAGTTGCGCTGTCGCTGTGTGTATCACCTCCTGGATGGATGGAAAGGTACCCGGGACAGCGGAGAAAGCGCCTTGGATTTTTGATTTACTCCTGGAATTGGATGTTTGACAATTTTCTGGACAGCGTCATGTTTACTGTAAAGCGCCTGGAATTGGAACCATGATTTCCGGTAAGTTTTCCTCGAGCCAACCCGTTGAAGATAGACAATTGCGTTGTTTTCGCATTGGAAAATCCAGCAGGCGTGGGATTTTATACTTGATGGCTATTCCCAGTCACAAGTGGGTTAGTTCACCCCAATTGATTCAGTAGGATAAGCAGGGTTATACCGCGTTCAAAACTAAGGAACTAATCCATTTACGATCTTTGGGAGGAGCCACCAAAGAATGAATCTTTCTGGTATTTCTTGCACCTGCATGTCCGAAATCCAAGGTGACAGCTGCACAAAGTTTGCACAGATGATCAATGACACTGTGGACACTTTGTGACTTGGCACGTCAAGAAAGAAAGTTAAGTTGGTGCACCCATGGTAGTTTTCAGAACGGGTCCTCCTGGCAGTGCAGTTTTCACATGATTTAAGATTAAATTATATGGTATAACGATGGGAAATGCCTAATTTAATCCTAGGTAAAATCATCTAGAACACATGCATTTTTCCATTGCAGTGTTAGGCTACCAGAGGGTGATTTAGCTACCTTTATTTTCCCTAGCTTACTCCCGGAAGGGTTAACTGGAAGGATTTAACAGGCACCCTCGTTGTCATGGAAGTTTAGAAGTCGAACTTCCGACAACATAGACAGATGGAAAAGCAGAGGTGGGAAGAGTCAGAACAGAGACAGGAAGAAGAAAGAAGATCAGAGAAGAGAAGGAGTCAGAAGAAAGAAGATCAAGGTGCGCGAAAAGGTAGAAAAGTCGCGACACGCTTTGTTTTTTCTCATGTTTCTGGGCTCCGCAAGCTCGAACAATAGGCTCGCTAAAGCGGGGAGTGCGGAGCCATCTCGTCAGCTGAGAAATCAGAAATTGCATGCCGCTGGGGCGCGAAGCACATGTGGAAGTCAAAATGTGGAACGCCGCAGGTTCTGAGCACTTTTGGACGTTCAACTGTCCTTTTACGTGGCAGGCGCTATGGATTCTGCACCTTGTTAAAAAGTCAGCTAAACGTGTAGGCTTTCCTGACGTGGGACGTTGGAAGAGGGCCTGCTGATGCATTTCGCGTGGCAGGCGCAGTGCAATAGACGTCACCATCAGACATGTTAAGAGGTCAGGGTGCTGATCTCCTGAGAGGGGTTCCATTTTGGAGTTTGCTAAGATGATTTTGCGCACAGGTGCAGCACTTCGTATGACTTGGCTTCACCTTCTCCTGGCAGGTGCTATAGTTTAGACACATGGACTAGAAAAAAAGGCATTGGCACGAAGCCGTCAGGTCTGCACTCAACTTTCCATTTTTTAAGGAAGTCTCGCAGAATTGCTTCGTTTTTGGTGTGGTCAAATCCCAAAACTGAGGGTCAGAATTGCCTCGGTTTGGACGTGGCAACTTTCACTTTTGAAGGAAGTCTCGCATAATTGCTGCCTTTCAGATAGAAAGATAGAAAGATAAGCAGATAGATCGATATAAAGAGACAGACAGACAGCTAGCTACCTACCTAGCTAGATAGATAGATAGTCAGATAGTCAGATAGACAGAGAAGCAGAAAGATAGATAATAGATAACAACATCGATAGATAGATAAACAGCAAAATAGAGAGAGATAGAGATCCCTAGATCAATAGCTAGATAAATAGAAAGATTGGTGGGTAAAGATGTAGGTAGATACATAGATAGATAGAGAAACAGATAATCAGATAGACAGATCGTCAGACAGATAGACACCAGATAGGTACGAAGAGACAGATTGGTTGACAGAAAGGTAGTCACATAGGTGGACAGGCAGATACATCGACAGAAAGATAGACAGATAGACGGATAGATAGGCAGATAAATAAATAGACGAATACATGGATTGATGAATAGATGGCAGATAGACAGATAGACAGATTCATAGACAGATAGAGAAATAGACAGATTTGATAGATAGATGGATAAATAGCTAGATAGACTGTTAGACAGATAGGTAGGCTGACAGATAGAGAAATAGAAAGATAGATAGATAGATAGATAGACAGATAGATAAACAGAGAGAGAGAGAGAGACTCAGAGCCTCAACGACCTTTCGGTCCATCAGTGGGTTCGCTCTGACATCCATGCATCACAACAGCAACAAACATCTCCTATAGGTTTCATACCTTCGAAACTTCCGCCACCGCCTTGTGCGGTACTACTGGCTGGTTTTCCATGATTCTTGTTCTTTCCTTGGAAGGAACTATCAGCAAAATTGGTGGTTGGACAGCAGTTCCACCTATAAGAATCAGACAGGTTAGGTTCGGCGGATCGGATCTCACCCAATGCCAATGGTTGCGTATATCGCGTATGATCGCGTTGTTTTCTTTTTACGCCTTTCTGTCGCTTGTTTCACACCGCTGTGGTCGATACAACCGCTGTGTTGCAGATGTTTGTGTACCAATAGTTGCCAAAAGTGTTTTGTCCATTGCATGCGCCTATACAAGGATGTCTATCCCGTCACTGGTTGCACAGAGTCCCTATCCTGTCTCAAAAACAATCAATGAACCTGGCCTTCTAAGATATGATACAATGATCATGATTCAGACCGACAATAAAAATCATCATGTTCACCTGCATGTTAGTCACCATTCCCCGGAAATAAATTGTCAATACCAGAGTGGGGTGACCAGGGAAAATTTCCAGGTTCTAGCCCCACTTCGGTTTGCAATTAGGTGTTGGAACCATCATCTAAGATAATTTCCCCTTTGACTGGTCCAAAATTTTGTTTGGGCAAAATCTGCAGAAAACCTTTTGTTTTTGTGGCAGACATGTCATGTCCAGTAGGTTTTCATGCACAAAACTATTGAACGGAGGGTTGCATTTTTCCCCAAACAGTGTGGCCACACTTGGGGTTCTTACGGTGGTTGTTAAGGCCTGGTCTTGGTTCAAGGTGGCTTCATCCGTGTCCAGCAAATTTGCGGACCTTTACAGCACAAAAGCTCCTTCATTTGCGTTTTTGACGGAACGGTTGGCCAGAGACCTCTTGTGCAAGTCTCGGATCGCTCTCGCTGTGGTGCATTGCGAATTTTGAGGTCGCTCTCGCAACCTTCTCGTCACTTCCGGCGTGTCAGGTCGCTCGTGCGGTGCTCATTTCAATCATCAAGGAGATCCTGTGCAGAGATCTTGGCAAGGGCGTATTTTACAAAGAGCTTGCGAGCGTGACAAAAGATTTCCGAGATCTTGGCCAGAGGTCTCTTACAGAGATCCTGCCAGCAAACCTTTGATAGAGATCTTGTACAGAGACCTACTATAGAGATGTTGCACAGAGATCTTGCCAAAAGGGGTCTCTTGCAGAGATCTTGCCAAGAGACCTCTTCTGGAGATCTTGTCCACAGACCTTGCATAGAGATCTGTTGAGATCTTGCCAAGAGGTCTCTGATAGATATTTTGCCAAGAGAGCAGAGATCTTATCAAGAGATCTTGCCAAGAGACCTCTTCTAGAGATCTTGTACAGAGATCTTGCCAAGAGACTTCTTCTACAGATCTTGTACAGAGATCTTGCCAGTGGATCTCGTGTATAGGGAGCTTGCACAGATAGCTTGACCAGAGATCTTATTCAGAGATTTCTTACAGAGATCTTGCCGGGAGATGTTTTCTAGAGAGCTTGTACAGAGATCTTACTCCGACAAATCTTTTTAGGGAGCTTAACAGAGATCTTCTGCGGAGATCTCCTTTAGACACCTTGTACAGGTAGCCTTACAAAGGGCTCTTACACAGCAGCTTGCAGAGGACCTATGAAGGAGATCTTGCGCACGATCTTCTACACAGATCTTCACAAAGGGAACTTGCAGAATCTAACCTGGCATCTCTTCTTCCCGTTCCTTGCAACACTGTTTGGGTTTTTTTGTTGGGATAATTTTGAAAGTTCTGGTTAGTTATGGTTTTTGTGTCCGGCAGGGCTGGCTCCAGGTACACATCCCCATGCGGCGACGAGATGGACATGAAGGGCCTGGTGGGTGGTCAACTGCACTTGTTGAGTCTGCTGATTCCGCGACGGGTTGAGTCAAAACGCCACGATGGAGAGGAAACTTTCGAGGTTTTGAAGAGATTGGATGAGCCTGCAACCCCTTTGAGCTTGGAAATGGAGTTGAAGAGTGAACTGGCAGAATCGCGGTTCATGACAACGATGTGTCTGAAAATAGGAAAGCCATGGGCCAGCCTTAAAAAGCACAAGGTAAATCGAACATATGATGATTGTATGATGATAAAGCACCGGATTGGGGTCCCCAATTTTCAGACAAATCCGCCCCGCGTTTTTCACCAGGGATTTGCATTTTTTTCAAAGCTTTAATGATTACGTGGGTTGCTATGGCTTTTTAAGCGTCCTGGAAGGAACACAGTGAGAAGTGTAAAGAACAGGACTTGTTACAAAAAAAATGGATTTGCAAAACTTCACCGATATGGGGTACCTATCTCCACATGACTTCAGTTGGAAAATTTATCAATGAATCAAGTGGAAAAATCATCCGAACCGATAGTATTTTGCAGGCATCAAACTTTGACCTTGTGGAAACGATTGTTGTCGAATGAATTTTCCCGTGTCAGAGAAAGGCCCGGATCAGCAAATCAAAGATAAAACCATTGATTCTGAATTCGCACGTTTTCCTGAAAGCTCCACGAAGGGTTTTTCCCAAAGAATTGCTGCCAAATTCTAGTTTTCATGTCATCTACATAACACCTCCTACATCCCTTACACTTTGCGTCACCTACATCATCTACATCTACTGCACGTGCATCACATTCATAATCTACATCTCCCGCATCCCTCCTACATCCTCCACCTACATGCATCATGTACATCAACTTCAATGAACTGCATCTACATCACATACATCATCTACATCAACTTCATCTACAAGTTCTCAACGTCTACATATCTCCCACAAAACTTCTAAAATGTCATTTGCACATGAGTTGATACATCGGAGTTCTTACACAGGAGTTCTTACACACAAGTTGTTGCACAGGACAGTAGTTGTTACACAGGAGTTGTTATACAGCAGTTGTTTCACAGGAGTTTCTACACAGGAGTTACCTTCTAGGTGATCTACTTGTATCTGACCTTCTGCAAAACTCCTACTTGTCAAGTTCTTCTGAATCCTCTCTTTGGGTGGCAAGGGCAGCCCGGCCGTGTCCGTGGAAACGCGACCCTATGCAGAGATTGCGCATGTCGGACGCACGAACATGTGGTAAAATGCGACTTTTCTGTGGATGGTCGTCGCCCTCTCGCGCGAAACAATGGTCGAAGGTCAAAAACTGGTGTGAACTTAGAAGTTTGAAACCTAAAATCAACCGTTTCGAACGAAATGAAAAGCTAACGGCAAAAACTTGTTTAAAATTGCGATTTGGCAACGTCAAAGGAAAATGTCGAAAAACTGGTGTAAAATTACATTTTGGAAGATCAAACGCAACCTCTTCGCGCAAAATGAAGGTCGGACGTCAAAACCAGTGGCAAAATTGCGATTTTGAAACTTCAGCTGCGCCCCTTTCGCATAAAATGAAGGTCGAACGTCAAAAACTCTTGTAAAATTGCGATTTTGAAATCTCAGATGCAACACTTTCGAGCGAAATAAAGGTCAACTGGCAAAAACTGGTGTAAAATTGCAATTTTGCAGCGCCACAAAGGCGGCAAGGGTTCTCATTGTAAAAGCTTAAAAGCTTCTATGTGTAAAAGCGTCTGCGTGTATACGCATCTGTGTGTAAAAGCTCCTCTGTGTGAAGACTTCTATACGTAAAAGCTGCTCTGTGTAAAATCTGCTCTGTGCAAAAAGGTTCTGTGCGTAAAGGCTTGTGCGTGTGTGTGTGAAAGCTTCTGTGTGTCAAAGTTCTGTGCGACAAGCTTCTGTGCGAAAAAGCTGACCTGTGTAAAGACGTCTCTGGGTAAAAGCTCCTCTGTTTAAAGCTTTCTGTGTGTTAAAGCTTTCTGTGTGTAAACGCGTCCGTGTGTAAAGCTCCTCTGTGTAAAGCCTTCTGTGTGTAATAGCTGCTCTGTGTAACAAGCGTTCTGTGTGTAAACGCGTCTGTGTGTAAAAGCTCCCCTGTGTAAAGCCTTCTGTGTGGAAACGTGTGATTCTCACGGCCAAGGCGCCAGCCCTGGAGCAAACCTCCTGTGGGGAAAAACATCAGGCTGTGGATATATGACACTTTTGACAAACATTCATCACCGTCAACATCACCACCAGTATCACCATCATGATTCATCATCATATTTTCTTGTGTGCTATCTTCTCGTCTCCTCCGTCCTGCTTTCTTTGGGCCACACTGTCGTCTAGGTTACCCCTGGTCGCCGAGCTATTGGGGTTCTTACTTCAAGTATACGAAGGGTTGCCTGTGAGCGTTTTGGAGCTTGGGTGCTGGTGCCCTTTACCTTGGCAGCTGGTCCCGTGCTGGCGTGCGCTTTGGAGCTTGGCTGCTGGTACCGCTGCGGTTGCCGCAAGGTGTGCCCTTTAGGGCTTGGGTGCTATTGCCGTTGCACTTAGAGCGCTTTGGGGCTTGGTTGATACTGTTGCTGCAGCGCCCCTGCAGGGTGCCAGTGGAAGGTTAGAGGACGGACGCGCTTTGAAGCTTGGGTTCCGCTGGAGGCTGCCATGTAGGGTGCTGCTGGTGCGGTGCCGCTAGGGTGCGCGCACTGCTGTCGTTCTGGTGGAAGTGCAAGGCGTCACTGCGTTGTCAGAGTGCTATGTGCGCTTTGGGGCTTGGTCGCTGTAGCTGCAAGGTGCCTTTGCAAAGTGCTGCGCAGAGTGCTGCTGTCAGGAGGCTGCTGTGTGTGCTTTGCAGCTTGGGTACTGATGCCATTGCAGCAAAGTGTTGCTGCAAGATGAGTTGTGTGTGGGTGCTGGTGCCGCTGCAGGGTGCGGCTGCAGGGTGCTGCTGTCAGAGTGCTGTGTGTGCTTTGGGGCTTGAGACTGTTAGAGTGCAGTGTGCGGTTAGACCTCAGGTACTGGTGCCGCCGCAGCAGTGCTGCTGCAGGGGGCAAGGTGCTGCTGCAGGCTGTTGCACGGTGCTGCTGTCACAGTGCAGCGTGCGCAGTGGAGCTTGCGCGGCTGTGTTGTGGGGGGTGCCATTGCAGGGTGAGAACGATCCGCTCTAGAAAAAGCGTTTGAGTGCTGCCACGAATTCCTTCACTATTTGGGGCCTATGCCTGCAAAATTTTTCGAAACTTCCAAATTTCTGATGGTAAGAATGACCTAATATACTACACACATTGTGTGTGTGAAACCCCTTATTTCATACGCATGTTATTACACTAATTCAACAAGTGCAGGGGGCCAGTGCATGACATCACGACGCTGACCCACGAAGCTAGTGATGTCATGGGAGCGCTTGGAGATGTCCGGCCGTGTACCTGTTCGAAAACCGTGTTTTCCCAAGCTGTTACAGTCAGGCTGCTGCAGGCCCACAGGTAGTGAAAGCTAGATGGTGTTTTCGCATGTCGATCCTGATTGAAGGTCACTTCTACGTACCTCATCAACCACTTATAACTATTTATACACATACACATACATACATTTACATATACATATATTTCGAACCCTTCAATTTTTTTTGTGTTCATTTTTTGCCAGGTTTAGCTGATTTGACCCGGAACTATCCGCACGATCTCCTTTTATGGCAGTTGATGGGGGCCGCTTTGACAGATGAAAGGCCGGTGGATCCCTGAGCAGTGAGCTGATCTACGAATTGGGTTTCCAATATTTTTGGGATGTTCATCTATCCGTTAACAGGGAGTCAAATATCGATTATGCTTGAGTTCCCATTGTTTGATGAATGACCAAAAACCATAAATCCCACGTTTTGACCCAAGCACAGATGATAACTGGAATGAAGCATCAGACATTTTGCTATTGAAAAGTGCTGACATTCTTCCATGAAGCGATTTTTTCAGCAGCAAGGAGCTGACCCTTTTGAGCACTGAAATTGAGAAATGGCCGAGAAAGGTCCAATTGAAACCGCCCCCCTTTGAAGGGGGATAGCCAGATGAAATCAGAAAACATTAAATATATAGAGAATACATGCTGGGAGGCCTGTGAATTTGTGCCAAAAAAAACTTGGATGGCGCAGCGTTTTGAAGGTCGTCATGAAAGATTGGACTTGAGACAGTACAAAGAAGTGCAAAAGATGAAGTCAAAGCAGCAAAAAAGAAGGTGTATGCAGTATAAGTATGTATCAGTAGTATATATACATCTAGATATATATATATATGTTTCCGTACTATCTGTACAGACACGCATTTTTCATTTATATATATATATATGTGTGTATATATATATGTATATTACGTGACATAATGACATAAATATACACAGCCCTGCTGCGATGCTTACGGAATGTGAGCGAAGTATTCTGCGAAGCTTCACCAAGCGATCGATCGTTGCTTTTCATCATCTATTTACCTTGAGAAACCCTCTGACGTGGATGGTTTCATGTAGAAAAGAAGCCATCTCAGAGTCTAAAATCAATCACCCCTAAAATCCAGCGGCGTAGCAAATCATTTTCGCTTGCCACTATGAATATATCTGACATGGCCAGAGACGGATACTACAAATCCAAGTGGCTTTGCTGACAAAGCATTTTCAAACACCCTAGTTGGCTGATGTTTTTGATTGTAGCACGGTTTGTAGATTGTGGTTTTGTTAAACCGTTAGCTGGGAACACCCATGAAAACCAAGAATCTGTTTTGGTGTTTCTTACAGTCCATTAAAGGCATTTAAAATCCCTGTCACGTTAAATCACGCAAGAAAACCATTATAATCCTTTTCACCGAACATTTTTTTGCGGTTTCCGAGCTTCAATCCACCAGACGCGCCAGGTGTTCCAGCAAGTTGGTCTTCGATGTCTTTATTCCTCGTTTCCGCGACTGGGGACGCACCTTTTTCCGCCTCAAGGACAGCATTTCACCCAGGTTCAGCGGCTTGCCTGTGGAGGTCTTTGCGATTTGGGTGCTGATCATGAGCTACCTGTTGGAAGCTTCAACTTTGCTTCATTTTCTTCAAGAATTGCGCGATATTAGTCTTTTTGATCTGACATTGCTGTTTTCCCCGCCTGTTCTTTTTTTAAAAAGGAAACATGATGATACACGGGAGGATTTTCAAAGATACAATATTTTCTGACAAACATGTCTCGCAAGCCCAAAGCGATGCAGAGAAGGTTCAACTTATCACTTTTCTGGGATTGGATCTAGTTTTCAATCTTTTTGGTGGGCAACTATAGGGCTATATGGCTTCTTCAGCTTTTTTGGATGGGCATCAATTGTGGCAAAGTTCTACCGTGTATGTTTTGTTGTTTTGTCAAGGCGGAAAAAGTCCCAGAGCTTCTGAAAGTTATCGAAGCGCGGCCGGAGGGTCAAGAAGACGAGGCGATGCACTACGGGGCGACGCTGGTGAAATGGCCCGGAAATTTAAAGCAAGAACTGAAGGACCGGATGATGGCGTGAGTTTTTTTGACCGCTTCACCATTTTCTGTTGGTTGCGAAAGGGATTTCAACTGGTACCAGTTATGGGAATTAACGGGGGCTTGACCGTGGTGAAAATGATTGGTGATTTTTTTGTATTTCAACATGTCAGCCAACCAGGTATTTACCATCCAACAATCAGCTCCACCTTCAGAATCGAATTATTTTTAAGTTTCAAAGTAGTCTTCCAACCTCATTTTGGGTTGTTCAGTGTTAATTTTCTAGCATGCAAAAGTTTATACCAGTAGTACCGCACAAGGCGGTGGCGGAAGTTTCAAAGATAGGACACTATAGGGAGAGGTGAGTTGTTGTGATGCATGGATGGCAGAGGGAATCCACTGAAGGACCGAAAGCTGGTTGGAGTTGTGCTTTTTCGAATGGCTGCAGTGGCTGCAGTGGTCACCTCACCCAAAACTGCTGGATGTAGCGTGGTGTGCTTGTAGCGTAGTGTAATTGAGTTAGTGTAGTTGTAGCTGCAGTTGTTGTTGTTGTTGTTGTTGTTGCTGTTGTGGTGGTGTAGTGACTAGTGTAATTAGTGAAGTTTAGTGCAATGTAGTTGTAGTTGTGGTTGTAGTCATAGTAGTGGTAATAGTGGTGGTAGTGGTGGTGGTGGTGGTAGTGGTAGTGGTTGTAGTAGAAGTAGTAGTAGTAGTTGTTGTTGTTGTTGTAGGTTAGTGTAATTAGTTTAGTGTAACGAAGTGTAGTTGTAGCTGTAGTTGTCCTTTAGGAGCTGTCGTGTAGTGTAGTGTAATGTAGTGTAGTTGCAGCTGTAGTTGTGTTTGTAGCTGTAGTGTAGTGCAACGTAGTGTAGTGTAACTAGATGTAATTGGATGCAACTAGATGTATTTAGATGCGATTAGATGTAATTAGATGTAATTAAATGTAATTAGATTAGATGTACTTAGATGCAATTAGTGAAGCGTAGTGTAGTGTAATCAATGTAGTGTTTTGTAGCATAGTATATTTGTAGTTGTAGTTGTAGTAGTACTGTAGTGTATAGCAAAGTAGTGTTGTGTAGGTTGTGTTGTGTAGTCTAGTCTAGTGTAGTGTAATTAGTGTAGTGTAGCGCAGTGTAGTGTAGTGTAGTGCAAGTATTGTAGTGCAGTGTAATGTAGCGCAGTTGTCGAGGGAAGTTTAGAAGTCAAACTTCCGACAATATGGAGAGATGAAAAAGCAGTCAGCAGGGAGAAGAGTCAGAAGAGAAAAGATCAGAAGAAAGA